TCTCTCAAATTGTTTTTTCTTGAAAAAAGAAGAGATAGAGGGGATCTGATTTGAGGTGTTTAAGATTGTTAAGGGAATTTATGGTGTTGATGCATCATCTTTTTTTGTACTTAACAGTGACAATAGTAGGACTAGGGGACACAAATGTAAATTTTGGTAGGGTAAGAGTCATCTTCAGCAAAAACAGTTATTTTTCTAAGTTTGGTTGGCCTTTGGAATGGGTTGCCTTCAGATGTTGTGGAGGCAGTAAATTTAAGTGAGTTTAAAAGAAAGCTTGATAAATATATGAATGTTAAGGGCTGGTTTTAAAATTTTTTTCAAAATTTATTTATTATAGTTTTACTTTAGTTTAGAGGATGGGACAGTCGAGATGGACTAATAGGTCCCATGTTGTCTCCAAATATTGTTATAATTTTGAAGCTAAGGCATCTAATTTCAAACCAAACTGATATGTATGTTCATTTGTCAAGACTTTCACTTAAGTTTTTTTGTCAAAAGAGTAATGATTCTGATTTAATTAGCAATTTTTTATTGCAGTGTTAAAACATAGGAAGAAATAATTATTTTTTTATAGTGATAAAAAATATGTCAACTTGCAGATAGAGAGTTTTATATCATGAAGTGTTGTTTTATTTACATGTTGGTAGGTGCAGTGATACTCATTTTATTACTTTTACACATTTAAGATAACATTCTAGTTAATTCCAGAATTTCGGAGGAAATAGTATGGGTAGTTTAGCAGGGTAGAGGTGTTATCTAAGGGCATTGAATTAAAGTGATTACAGTATTCTTTATGTTTTTTTATCAAATATCATGTAACTTTTAGCTTAGTTATAGGAGTAACAGATTATTATATTGTTTTACCTACATTGAAGATCTCTTGTCCATGAAAGGGTTACTTTTGGACATTCGAATATAGGGTGTCTTAGTAGCTTTTATGTGGTATATTCCTACAGATGAGAGAATTTTAAAATATTGATCATTTTTTCACATTAACTTCACTTCTCAAAATAAAATATGTTTTTATGCTCAGTGCATTTGAATACCATGGATATAGACCAAACTGTTGAACCAATATAATCTGTTGCAGGTCTAGGAAATCTTTTTGGACCATCAGATAGTCAACTTGAAGAAGCAATGCAAGATAAATCAAAAGAGTTAAAGATCATTGAACAGCTGTTAGTTCCAAAGCTAGAAATTATTTCGTAAGTACACCTATTTAATTTCTTAATTTTGTTCTTGATACAGGTTTTTATTTTGTATACTTAGAAAGTGTTTTTTATGAAGAATAAGCTATTCCATAGACAAAAGTATTACTTCAACTATTTTTATTATAAGTTACAGAAAAATAGAGCTGTAATATATATATATATTTCTCTCATCACCTAAAGAAGAGCCAAGTTATTGTTGGATTTGCCTTTTCACAGAGTTGAACCAGTTTGTTAATTAAAATGAAAAGTGTGTTTAGTACTAAAATTTACTGTCTCAATGTGTTATAAGTTACTGAACAAATTAAGTTTTTGAAATGGTGTATTTAAGTGTTTTACACTCTCAAAAAAGAAACCTTTCATTCTATAGTTATTTGAAGAACTTGTAGCATTCCGCCAAAATTTAATTCTTCGTATTGTTAGCCGACACTAGGCAGCTGGTACATAATAGAAT